TGTTCTATCCTTTGCCCTCTCTCTTGCTTTCGCTCTCGCGTCCTTAGACAGCTTCTTCAAAATTGGTGTTCGTGGCGGTTGCGACATCTTCCTCTTCCCTCTCATCGATCTCCCATCAACTTTGTTTCCTCTTGGTTCTAATGCAAACAAGAGGAATACGAATTTGTAAACATGCATCTTAGAAAATATTCCTCATTTATTTTAAAATATAATCTTATTTTATAACTTTTTATATTTCTGAAAGAACAAGGCAACGGTTAACGTAAGTACCGGTCGTAGTAATGTTGCTGCCTCGATCGTCTACTGTCCACATGGATGCAAGTTCGCATAGATCGGACGATGTGTCCATGGATCCTAATGCCGGTCCTTGAAGTGATGAGAATTTCATAAAAGATCAAAAATTTGGTAAAAGATGAGAAATCTAATAGAATTAAAACGGGAAAAGAATGTATATTTACGGGTTTGAGACTCGTCGCCGCTGCTGAAGCCGCACTGGTGAGTAAGGTTTTTCGCGATCTTTATGATCTCCGGTTTTGCTTGTGTGAGCAACCATTCAACGGTTTTGCTGGCTTTGTCGAATCCAAGCATGTCTTGTAAGCCGAACAACTCTTTAGCAACATCTACTGAGAGTCTCATCCTACGGTCTCGTGTCCCACTAGCCGTTTCGATCTTGCTGTGCCTGTCCGTTCTGGTTGGTTTCTTAACTTTTTTCATTTTTGGGTCTTGAGAAGCTGAGATTCTCCGGGAATCTTCTAGGTGTGTTATGGTTTCCGAGGGCTCAACGAGTTGAGATTCTCCAATAGGGTCGTTCAAGGGAAGGAGAAGTGATGGATGATGATGGTCATTAGTTGGAATGTTTTGGTTATCATCATGGTTTTGAGGGTGGAAAGAGGCGAGGAGGGCAAATTCCGGGACGAGTTCGAATTGAGAAAAAAGAGAGGGTGCTTGTAGGAATTGATGATGATGGTCAAGATGATTGTTTGAGGTGGAGTGAATCGAGATATCGTTAATGGAAGAAGAAGGGCTAAAAGGGAGTAATGGTTGTGAGGAATAATGTTCATTATAAGGGAATAACATGTAGTCGTCATTGATGTTGGTAGTACTGAAAGTGTTGTTGTTCATGTCCTTTTGGGAGGGTTTTGAAGCAGAAATTTAAATTAAAAACCCTAAAACAAATTGTTGAGAATGACACTTGTACCAAAATCTTCTTCACACACACCAAAAAGAGAAGAAAATGAGAGAAAGCATAGGATCAAAGAGAGAGATTAGATTACTGTTTCAATGATGAAGACATTAATCTCACCCAAAATCAAGACTAGAAAAGGAGTTTTTCTTTCCTTAATCTGC